TTACTCAATAGATGTGGTCCAGAGAATGCTTGCCAAATTTAAACAGGATCAAGTCCTGCCCAGACACTGAGAGTCCACACTCATAGAGGCAGCCTGGAGTCCTGCTCTGAAGGCCTCTGTCTATGACCATTTTTTCCTTCAACCCCAATTGTTGAGAACCAATATCAGTTCTCAGATACCCAGAGGCCACCTCCCCTGGTGCTGCACTTGATGTCCCTTCAGCAGTCACAGCCAACATCTCTCCTCTTAGCCCTCACTCAAGTCCCAACCCCGATGGCCCTCAGCTCCAAGCCCAGTGAGTCTCACAGATGACCACTAAAGCCTCTAAGCTAATCCACAAGTCAGACTGCAACACGCCAGGACACACCTAGGGTCCCAGCAAAAATCATGGTGAGTGTTTAGAGAAGTAACTACGTACCAATCCTAACCGCATCCTGTGTGAATTACTCTTTGGTCTCCAATTCATCTCACGCCCACTCATCCTTTAAAGGCCTTGGCAACTGGGAAACCATTCTCTCTCCCCAACACTCTACATGACCACTTCTGTCCCTTTGCTGTGTTATGACACCCACCTCCTAGAAACAGGGGCCCCAGCAGGAAACCAGTCCTCAGGGTCACAGTGTCCCTGTGAGCTACCACCAACATTACCATCCTGACCATGATTCCCTGTATTAAAGTGATCTACGGTCCTGGCTGATGTGGCTGAGTTGGTTGAGCATCGACCCAGGCGCTGAGAGGTGGCAGGTTCCAGTCCTGGTCAGTCACAGGCCTGGGTTGTGGGCTGGACCCACAGAATGGGTTGTGCAGGGAGCAACAGATCCTTGTATCTTGCTCATCACTGTTTGTCTGCCTGCCTCTTCCATCCTTTCTATATTTAAAATCAATTAAAAATATATGTATATATAAATGAAAATAGACGAAATATATATGTGTGTGTACATATACACACGCACACACACACACAAATAATACCTGCCCGTTCCTGAACCTGCTCAGTCTTCACTCTGAGCCTTCGCACATTCTGGTCCCGTGTCTGGGGGGAACCCCCACCTCTCATTCCACTCGTTGCCAAAACCAGGGTCCACGTCATAAAGCCCCAGCGTGGCCTTAGGACGGCGGATCTCTGGAGGCTTTGAATCTTTGCTTGATCTCCTTCTGGGCCAGGGACTAGGGGAAAAAGATGACCCGGGTGCATATCTTGGTCCTTTCCAAAGGTACCCAGCCCCAGCAGAGGGAGCCACAAGCTGTGGATTGCTGATAGTTCCGAGCAGGTTACTCACGGCGGGACCCGAGCGGCGCCGGCCCCGAGGCTGGAGGTTCCGATGAGGTGAGGCCGAAGGGACTCTGTCGGCGGAGAGGAATCGGGGAGCCTCGGACGCCCCAAAATCGAATGTGGCGGCTCAACAGGCTCAGACACACCCTGCCCCGCGGGGTGCTGCCTCCCCTGTCCCCTCCTCGTCCCGATGGGCGCGCTGAAGCCCCGGAGCCGGCGAACAGCTTGAAGAAGTCAAAATGTCCGCCAGGAAGAAGACTCCGGAAGTCCCGTCCTAACCGGATGCGTTCCACAAAAATGCGTTGTGTTGACGCAGTGCTTTCTGGGTAATGTAGTTTTCCTAACCACCCAGCGGAGGGCTGGCTTTCTAGCCCAGGAACTTGGGGAACAAGATAATGAGGAGCTGCCAGGGGCGCTGGGGGAGGAGATGGGAGCAGAGGCCTGGTTCACGGGGACAGACTGACAGCTCCCGCCCCCGCCCCCCGGAGGGAGGAGGAGGACAGGAATATATCCCCCAAAGAACATACACAGGGTAAATGGGAAACATCTGTAATAGTATTAACAATAAAAAATACTTATTTAGGGGGGTAGGGGGGAAATGGGCGGGTAAGGACACAGACGTAATACCTTAATCAATAAAGAAATTAAAAAAAATAATAAAAATTTAAAAACCATATTTTTAAAAATATTTTTAAAGAAGGTAGCCCAATTGGTGTGTCGCAGTGGTTGAGCGTCAACGTATGATCCAGGAGGTCACAGTTGTATTCTTGGTCATGGCACATATGTGGGTTGGGGGTTCAATTCCCAGTGTGGGCAGGGACTTGCAGGAGGCAGCTAATCAGTGATTCTCTCTCATTATTGATGTTTCTATCTCGATCTCTCTCCATTCCTCTCTCTAAAATCAATATCTATACATAGATATGTGTGTGTGTGTATGTGTATGACCAGTTGACCAAATGACTGGTAGACTGGTCGCTATGTTGCACCCTAACCACCAGGAAGCAGCTCCTACGTTTATCGTCTGCCCCCTGGTGGTCAGTATGCTTCCACAGCCAACCTCACAAGGTCACTCTCCCAGGACTGGGTGAGATGGCCCTGATCAGCCCTGATCTCCGGTCAGGCAGACAGACCCCACCCTTGCACAAATTCGTGCACTGGGCCCCTCTAGTATATACATGTAATACATATAAGTCCTGGCTGGTTTGGCTCAGTTTGGATAGAGCATCGGCCAACAGACAGAAGGGTTCTGGGTTCGATTCTGGTTGGAGGCACATGCCTGGGTTGCAGTCTTAATCTCCAGTAGGAGGCATGCAGGAGGCAGCCAATCAGTGATTCTCTCTCATCGGTGATGTTTCTCTCTCTCTTTCTTCCTTACTCTCTGAAATCAATAAGTAGCACTATCAGAAACCGCTATGTCCCGGAGCTGCCACATACAGTCGTTGACCAAACTCAAAGGAGTGAATTTTGGAAAAAGGAGTTTGGACAGATGTCATTGGCAGCAAACTGACACCCACTTCTGAGTGGGACCGTGTTTCAACCCCTGGCCAATTCGGTTCCCCACTGTGGTGGGGGTGAAGCCCCATGTTGACTGTGTTGATTGGGATGGTACCGGACCGCAAACAACCAGCATCCCCGTGCTTTTACATGAACGTCAGTCGCTACCCTGCCTCCAAGACTCTGTGTCTTTTGCGTTGCCCAGGCGAGGGCCCCAGCAGGTGGGGCTGAGGGTTAACATGCTGACAGTAACATCAATGGTGACCCTGCGCTTTCCGTTTGTTCTGTGCATGAACGTGTGCTAAACGCGGTCCCTCCATAGTTCTCTCCATCCCTATTGCAGAGAGCCCTAGGCCTAACTCTTCCTCCTGTCTCTGGTGTTGGACCAGGAGTCCCACCGGATTGCCCAGTGCCTCATTACTGGGGGCTGGGGAGCACTTAAGATCCTAGGAGTCTTCCCCTTCAGTTTTCTCCCATATGCACTCCTCCCTTCATTCCTTGCTCAGGATGCAGGATCCTACAACTCCTCCCTGAAGGACCAGAGTCCTACCCAAACATGCCTCCCTCCACACTCTCTAGCTCCAGTCTGTCCTCAGGGTCCTCCCCAAGTCCCCACCTTCTCACAGCCTGGGGAACTGACCCTTCACTTCACCCATCCCTGGGGCCTGAGATGGACCCCCAGGGGGCAGCAGAAGCTGGAAGAGCAGGGGCAGAAAGGGGTCATCCAGGGGCTGGAAAGAACATATTGTCCTCTCCATCACCCCTCAGTACATTGCCTATGCGTTTGCTTGTAGCTGGGGTGCACAGACATACATATTCGCAGGGAAACATACAGACACACAAACACAGGGAAACACAGACACCACAAGCACAGAATCACACAGGCACAGAACCCTCACAGCCGATGGTGGGCACTCAGGTGCAGAGCTTATGCCCAGGCTTACAGAGACGCAAATTGTAGACATGGGCAAAACCTTGAGGGGAACACACACACACACACACACACACACACACACGATACTCCCATGCACACACCAGAACAGACAGACAGGGACATAGAACAGACACAAATACACACACACACACACACACACACACACACAGGAACATCCAAAGAGGCAGCAAACTCACACATACAACCAATTCACAAACATGCAAAACAAACACTCCTGAAAATTCTGGGTCGTACTGATACAATGTGTTGAAGGAAACATTAAGGAAACAAGGGGTTCCCCTGGCCAGGTGGCTCGGAAAAGAGTGTGGGTTTGATTCCTGGTAAGAGCACTTACCTATGTTGCTGATTCCATGGTACCTCCAGGACTGGCCAGGGGGTAGCTTCAGCTTTAGTTAAATCGTAGTGGGAAATGACCCCCAAAAGGCAAAAAGAGACCCAAACCATGGCAGTGGGGGCTCAGGAGTGTGTGGGGGCTGGAGGCAGGACTTCCCAAAGGTGAACTGATGTGGGGCCCAAAGCATGAGGGGGCATCTCCCAGATAAAGTAGATTCAGATGCAGTGGGCCAGGCGCCTGGGGATGGGCAGAGCAGGCTGGAGAGGCCTCCAATGGAGAAGCAGAGCCCTGATCAGCTCCTCTCAGGTGGACACAGAACCCCAATCCCTCCCAGGGACCTGCACTGGGCTCCTCTCTGCCAGCTCCTGGGCAGGACACAGCGTGCCCAGCTGCAGGGGGAACATCCTGGGCAAAGGCAGGAGAGTGAGGAAAGGTGGGCTGTGTAGCATAGTGGATGGTACTTTTGTTTGTTTTATTTTATAGTCCTCATATGTGGATATTTTTCCATTGATATTTAGAGTGGAAGGGTGGGGCTGCGGGGGGCGGGGGAGAAAGAGACAGAGAGAAAGAGAGAGAGAGAGAGAGAGAGAGAAACAGAAACATCAATGTGAGAGACACATTGACTGGATACCTTCTGCATGTGCCCCAATAGGGCCTGAGGATTGAACCGGCAACCCAGATACATGCTGTTGACTGGCAATCTAATTTGCCAT